TTTTCTTCAAAACAGAGAAGATACAAATAATCATCAATGTCACATATATATGTATATAATCATTAAAGCTGCATGCCTCCAGATGAGCCAAAATATTTCTAGAAATTCAATCTTTAGAAAAATGTATAAAGATCTTAAGAAAAGTAAAAAGATTCATTATTTAATTAATTATTTACATGTTATGTGCAATTAATGACTGATTTTCCACTATCAATCACTATAATTCTATGTACTGTGTTACTAACGCAGTGAGAGGTATTTATGTATATTTTGACCTCTTTTTGATTATAAATACGTGGATTGTAAGTGCCGTTTGCAATGTATAAATTACTTTCTTTGTTCACTTCACAATATTTTACTTTTAAATGCATTTTCAAAATTTTCATGAAAATTAGCATAAATCTGGAGGCATGCTGCTTAAAGTTTACTAATGAATAACTGTAACAAACTGATGTATGTACTAGAGTGAGTAAATTCCCATTGAACAATTCAATGTTTCTACAAAATTTAAATATTACTGTAAATACACTATGTATATGATTATTATATATTATTATATATTACGCGCTAAAATCTTTACCAAGATATTTTAATAATACATATATTAAACATCTCGAATACAATGTACATAATGTTAAACGTTGGTTCAAAATTTCTGAGTATTTCATAAATATAAAATCTGCCAAACAGTTTTGTTTATGTAAAGTTTTGTTTATTTAAACTTGTTTTGTCATACAAACTATACCTTTATTTTGATTAATGCAAAATCTATATAAAATTTTGTTAGTGATTAAAACTAAGTAGGAAAATTCCTATTTTTTAGACATATTAATTAAAAAAGAATAATATTAAAAAGACAGGCATAAAATATGATTATAATCTGAACAGTTTCTATAAATTTTAAACTAGCTATATCTGGAACTTCTCAATACTTTCTTACTTGTACAATCATTTACTGTTACACATGCTATGAAAAAATGTTATCTATGACAATGGTAAAACTGTCTAATACATTTTCAGGAGTATATAATATGTAGGTACATGTATATATACTGATAAATAATCTTCACCTGTCTAAACTGAGCATGAAAAATATTGATAAAAACAGGTACAGAAAGTACATTAGCAACCAGAGCTGCATTACTGGTACTGGTACTGGTACTGCAGTATGTACTGCAGCGATTTTGCAAGTACTGGTACTGATACTGAATTACTCTTACAAAATTTTGCTACTACTGGTACTGGTACTGCATTACTGTCTTAAAAAGTGGTACTGCTACTGCATTACCCAGTACTTTGGGTTTTGATAAAATTAAAAATAACATCAATTTTGCTCATAAAATAAAGCTGTAAATTACATTAACTATATTTTATTTTTGTGAAAAAGTAAGTTATCAAATCTAAAGATAATTTGCTGCAATATTCCTTCAAATGTTAACATAGTATTCATCATAAAAAGCACCAAAGACTTTAAGTAAAAATTACATTAAAATAAACAGACTCAATAACTCTTTACCCTAAAATATATTAAATTTTTTTATTACTTTGTATTTACTAGTTTAATAAAGAGCAAAATAAACACTACATGTAATTAATTTCTTCTATTCTAAAAAATTCCATTTCAAGTGAAAAAGTGATATTTTTAGCACCATAAAAAGTTGTTATTTACTTTGGTATAAATTGAACAGAGGTGTGAAGGTGTGAAAGGCAACAAAAGACTGTTGTGTTTTAAATGAAAGATGTTTGCATTGTATTTATACAGTTGACTGGTTACTAAACAATTAGATATGACATGAATATCTGTTGAAAATATTGTTTGTAAAAAGTATGTTAAAACTATAAAGTTGTAAATATGTTATGTTAACTTTAAAGCAGCATGCCTCCAGATTCATCCTAATTTTCATGAAAATTTTGAAAATGTATTAAAGGTAAAACATTGTTAAATGAACAAAGAAAGTACTTGACACATTACAATCGGCACTTAAAATCCACGTAAATTACCAAAAAGAGGTCAAAACATGCATAAATAGCCCCTACTGTGTTAGTAACGCAGTAGAAATGTAGTGATAAATACTACAAAATACAGTCATTAATTGCACATAAGATATAAATTATCACTTGAATCTTTAATTTATTTACTTTTCTCAAAGTTTTAGTATTTTTTTTCCAAGTTTAATTTTCTTGAAATATTTTGGGTCATCTGGAGGCATGCAGCTTTAAAGTAAATTATGATTTTATTTCTTTGCTGAATAATATTTGCAATTATTTGTTTGACACTGTATTTATTTAAACTTTGATGAATATATAAAAGTAATGGTACTGATACTTAATTACTTCACCAAAAAAAGTAATGGTACTGCAGTACCGAGCTAAAATCTAGTACTGGTACTGGTAATGGTACTGCATAATTTGCCAAGTACTGGTACTGGTACTTAAGTACTACACCCTTAGTACTGATGCAGCTCTGTTAGCAACAAACCTTTATAATGTACTTGAGTATAAGAACAGATATGATTACACAAAAAAAAAGTTGCCTCCCTTTTGTTATTATTGGATGATATTTTCAGTCGTAATAAGAGTTCTTCCCCTTTGACATGCTTGTTGGGAGGAGTTCTTTCCCTTTGATTTAATTTCATAGCATCCCGACTCTGTATTTAATGAAGAAAGGAATTTTTTCTTATTGATGTACAAATCAATAATTTATTGTTTTACCTTGCAATTGATACATATTGTCTTTTCTGATGAGCCAGTTTCAAGAAGGAACAAAATTTAAAATATAATCATTGTAAAATGTAAATCATAACTATGTCTGCTGTCTTGGAGGTTTTTTTGTTGTTGTTGTTTTATTTGTTTTGTTTTTTTGTTGTTTTTATTTAATTTATCTTTTTTTTTCGGTTAAAACATTAAATTTTAAAATCAAATAAGTTTGCAATGTTGATTTCACAAAATTTTTGCCCTCAAAAATACATTTTGATTTGTTAGTAAACATAGCAATAAAATAATGATGTTAAAATTATACTTAAATTATGACACTTCATGAAGATATGGCAACAGAAAACAGCTTTAAAAAATAAGTTAATAGTAACAAAACAAATAACATTTGGACTTAAAATATACAAATAAAATACAAAACAAATTACAAAATATCAGCCTGTCAGATCTTGGATAGATAAATAAAATAAATGTATACCAAAAAAACCACAAAAAGAGGTAATAAAACAGATCTGTTTAAAGTTCAAAAAGTAAACAAAAAATACAATACCCTGCAATTTTATGATCATCAAATAAATTAAGCATTAAATTAGATCAAACACAGCTTAACAGCAGTCTTAAAAAATTTTCTTAATTGTCTTTCATAATTCACTTTAATGAATTTTATGGCAAATTAAGCATTAACATTGTACCATAATGCAACACAATGATAGAGATGCCTTTATAAAGGTGCACACCTCCAGATGGGTAAAATTTGAAGAAAAAAAATTAAACTTATGAAAAATATATCAAGACATTCAAAAATATATAAATATTCTGAAACCATAATTATGCAAACTATGACTGGCTTTTTTTTCACCTACCCTGGAGATATATTTTGATATTTTTTACAAATCTTTAGACATTACAATGAATCATTGTTGGTTTTACCTGCCTTTCTTGGCCTGAAATAACTTTAATTGTGCAAATGACAATAGTTTGACTATTCAAACACTTTCTTCTTCATTTTTCATATAAAAATATTATGAATCTGGAGGCATGCTACTTTAAAAAGGTAGCAAAATGTACCATCAATCTGTGAACAAGCCTCTTTAATTATTCTTAAAGCAGAAGCCACAAATAACAGTTTCAAAATACAATGAACTGTAACAATTAAAAAAGCAGAGGAAAAAAAACAACTTTGGATTAAACTGATTATGAGGTACTTAGAGAGATTTTTTTTTTTTTAAAAAAAACATGCTCACAAAAAAAACCCCAAAAGCACACAATATTACTTCCATCATATAATACAAAATGTACAGTTTATACTGACCTGTAAAATTTTGACTAAAGGATTTAAATACTATAACATTGCATTAATACAAATAAATTTTAACATGTCAAACATTGCTTTTTCATTTCTCACATTATGATACCACTGACATGTTTTTTAAGAGTATAAAGTTCTTTTACATCTTCGTCACAGAAAAATGCATTCAATAAATATTTTTTTCATAATTATAAAGTACATAATTATGCGTAGAATTATTTTTTATTTTATAACGCCACTTTAAATAAATTAACTAACAAGTAAATATTTTCATGTTATAAAAAGATATTCAACATGGAGAGGGTTCTTAATAACATAATTTATTTAAATGTCGCTTCTATTTTTACATAAAATTTCAAAAAGAATTTAGGAATCAGATATTAATGTTGAGTGCACTGTTGGAGAATAATGTACAGTTCAAGTTTAAATGAGCAGTAATATAATCACAAAGGCCATTTTAGGCCAGAGTAACTTATTACAAATCATTTGAACAATAATTTATAATAGTAAACAAAGAAAGATATAAAACCTGAAAGAAGAAAAGATGATAACTTGGTGAATGACCGTATAAGACAAATATATAGAGGATATTCAAGTTTTTTCTATAAATACATGATTTATTTTCATCGAGTGGTATGAAAATAAATATTTCATGAGTGGCGGTAGGCACGAGTGAAATATGGTAATTTTCATGCCACAAGATGAAAATAAATCATGTATTTATAGAAAAAACTTGAATTTTCTGTTTATTATATACATTTTTCTCTTTTTTGACATTAAAATTTGAAAGTCTTTCCCTTAAATTTTGTGTACAGGCAGAATTTAAAAGAAAGTAGTCCGGCAAGACACCAGTGAAAATATGGAAAATATGTTTCACTGCAGTGAAAAATAAATTTTTACAGTGAAAATACGGAAAATGAAAATACGCATTTTATTTCATCAATATTTCTCAATATTTCATTTATAAATATATAATAAAATGTTTGACTTGTATGACACTGAAAGTTTTGATGATAATATGTAAATTTTGTACCGCTTCTATAAATAAGTACCCATCTTTCAACACTTTTCAGTTTTGGTTCATTTTTAACAATAACAAATAATTATTCTGGAAAAACAGAGTAAGCAAATGATCTGAAATTTTGCACCAATGTTATTGGTCTATGCCTACATCAAATGGAATATTAATCTTAAAAAACATTATTTCCATTCCCATTATGTCAAAAAACCTCAGTGGAGTCCCTTTAAGGGTTAAATACATATTTGTATCTCAGGAAATATGACAATAGAAAATTCTACTAGATCTTATATTATACACTCAATATAAATTATATATTCTTTCAAGCTCTAAATTCTGCCTGACATATCACATATCTATTATTTACCCTACTTTTTTCAATAATATAACATGAAGTGATGTTAGACATGAGTATTGCTCGTTTTTCTAACACAGACATTTTAATTTCAACATATTAACTAATTCTGTTTGAATATAAATACTAATTCTATTAAATGCATAATATTAGATTATTCTAAATAAATGTACAGTTTATAACACAAGGATAATATTAAAATTTCTGGTTAAGACTGGAAAGACTCTAGTAACTAAAGTTAACGATGATTTGATTTTTGTCACAAAAATGCTGTTTAATGCAAAACCTCACAAAAATGTAATACTACAAATGCTAAAGATATTATATAATGCTCAAATTTGATATTTGAAAACATTTCTAATTGCCATACAGTTTCTTTTCATACATGTAATTAAAATAAACAACTTTGGAGTAAATGCAATCAAGATATGTTACGTTGTAAACTCTATACACTTAAAGGTAATGCAATATGTCAGTGTTATTAGAACAGACCAAATTCACTTGACCAGTAAAAGGGAAATACAGCTTCCCACATTCTCCTATTCAAATTAGACATACTAAGTAAGAATTTAATAGATTTGCAAAAAAAGGATTTTACTAAAAGATGAGCATAATATAACTTTAACATGCAAGCATTTTAATTCCATCTAATACATTCTGAATAATTATGCTGCATTTATAACACGAGAGTGCCACCTGTGTCAGGTAAGCCTTTATGTTGCTTTTTTTTGTTTGCAATCTGACCTTGCTACTCAATTTTAATAACTTAGAACTCAATTTTATCATTAAAAAACTGAAACCCCTTATATATTGAATGGACTGTACCAAATTATAAGCAAATTTTAAGATAGCCTGTTATAGAAGATCAGCTTGGGAAGGGATAATTTCAATAAGTAATTAAGAGTAACTTACAGATCGGATATTTCACACCTGCTTATATGTTTGAAGTAGCTCACAGGTTTCAATTTTCTTAAATGCATGATGGAAATACTGTTTAACTGAATAAATTCAGATGTACAAAAAAAGAAAATTTTGTACTCATCAATAAGCTATCCTTTCAAAATGCCTACGGACATTCTAATTTTCAAACAAAGTTGAAATTTATCAGCATTTCAACTTAGTGTAACTGATTGAATATAATATTCATAATATATCTATATCTAATGCCCAAAAGTACATGACTATGTAAGTATATTATACTATAAGTTGATACAAGTACATATTTTATGTAATATCTGTTCTATATTTAGCTATAGGGTAACAATATGACATCTACAAGGATAACACTCTGACATCAACAAATTCTGATACTGAAAGCTGTAAATATAACAAGTTGTGAGCATGCCTACAAGTTAACATAGTTCTCTTGCATTCATTTCAGTTCATACAACTTAAACAGAATCATACCTATGTCATAAACAAACACTTAACATCTCTACATACCATATTTGACTTTTAACAAACATTGTAATTCTGTAAATTTGTCCTTTTCAAGACCAAACACTGAACCCTATTTTTTAAACACTAAGACTGTAAAACCTAGACAAAGTCAATTTTCTAATCAAATCTGAACACAGAAATTATTTTCTTCAAGTATATCTAAAATCAAGTCTGGTTAACCATTCCCTATATAAAATTTTCTAAAATAAGACTGTACCAGTCAGAAACATTCTCCTTCAGGAAATCAGTCTATCATATCAGACTATATAGCAGTCTGGTACCATAGCTTTACTTTAAATCATATCTTTTGAGTCATGTTATGACTGAACCAGTCTGTACACCATCTCTTTCATTTAAAACCAGACTGTGCCACAATTTCGGACTGATTCTCTTTTGATTATCTAATCACTGTCACTAGAATCTGTATCAGACTGTGCCAGTCTAGGATCTCTCTCCTCTTCAACTTCCTCAGTTTCTGGCTTCTCAGAGACAGACAGACGGGCAGCTTCCTGATAAACCGTTCCTATGGCCAGTAGTTCTGGGTATTCGTCTAAATGCTCAATTTCTATTTGATATTCATATCGTGCCGAGGACCGCACCCATTTTTCTGGAGGGTTCGGATTTGTGACAGCTATACTGCGGATCTGAGACTGTGAAGTGGTACTGCAGGGCATACTGAAGGAAACACTTGTGTGGGTTTCAAATGAATCTGGAATTTCATCATGTGGGCCCAACTCTAGCTTGAGTCGGAACAGATGACTTGTGTAAGCACCTGAAAACAATTAAATAATTTTTTTTAATTGACAATTTTTCCACATAAATCATTTAAAGCTTTTTTGTGGATATTTTATTATGAACTATTATTATTAATATATTGATAAATATTATAACTAAATAATTTCTATTTTGAGTTATAAAACAGTAGGAAGCTTACTAATATCATTATGAAAGCCATTCAGCCACCAACATGCGACAGAAAATTATTTGTTGCTATAGAGTCTTAAGCCTTAAGCAGTAAATGCTTAAAGACCTTTATAGCCCTGTTACATTGTTGCATCTGAGGGAAACAAAATGAATATCATATAAAATTGGTCTGAAAAAAAGTTTTTGACAACTGTCAATAGTGTATGAGTACAGTAACATACAAGCATTGTTTCTCACACAAGACAGACCTGAGAGTACCATGCTATAAAGTATGACAACACCTTTCCCAGTACCGTCAAACCTGTGTTAAAGTCCACTTCTAAATAAAGACAAAACCCTGCAAACAAACACCATTTTTTGATAACCCTTAATTTGATGAAATTGTATGAAGTGACCTCCAAAAAAAGACAAATTGTCTATAAAGAAAATGTTTGTATCTCCTTGAATGGCCTTAAATGTTTACAGGACTGGTTTGACTGGTTGTTATACAAAATGAGGTATTGATTTCATAATAATATTACAGCAGTTCCCTTCCTACTTTTTTTTGATATTTCATACTGGAAATGGACATTACTTAGGTCACTAATCACATGAAGTATCCTTTAAAAGCTTTATCCATATTTACAATGTGATAGACAGCTAGCTAAAATGTTCAATAGCTGCAACACTGGCTGTAGGAGAATTTAGTTATTAACCAGACTGTACAAACACTATAAAAGGCACTAGTCTCCAAGGACAATATTATATTGTTCATTGACAGACCAAGACAGACCAATCCCATTTCATAATATGAATGATGTTTACCTCTCATAAATAATATCTTATTTTATGAATATGTGGATAAATCTTGAAAACAAGCCTTGATCACTTTTCGACCAATCCTTAAATTTTCAGGAATAAAAACTGATCTCAATTTTAAAAAGACATTTTGACATTTTCACATAAGATCTCTGGAGAAGATAATTTCTGTCCCATTTCACCCAGACAAAAGTTTTCCATGTTATTAATTCTACAATTAAGGATGGTCATAAAATTAGAAAGAGCCAATTTCAGCTAGTTCACCTAGCTATTATAATATTTCCCAAGTTGAGGAAGCCTTGAGATTAAAAAGAGATTTATTCTTTGGTTTTATAAATATTTGTGGTCTTATCTATATTTGTGGTCTTAATTTATATCTCTGGTTTTATTTCTATATCTGGTCTTATTTATATGCATCAATCGGGCCTTATTCATATCTCTGGTCTCATTTTCGGGCTTATCAAATGGTTATGAAATATTAACAATTACCTTGGTTTCTGATTGGCAGTCTGGGAATTCTCCATACTATGGATCTATATATATGTTCATATTTGGCAGTACCTACATCAGCTTCCATGAGAGCCTGGTTCAAGTTACCTTGTGCCATCATTGTCAGCCTTTCCAATCCTGTAATAATAATAATTTGGAATTAAAAACAATAAACAATTGCTAAAATCTCACACATGTAATTTTATTTGACATTGTGTTAAATATGGATGCATGCAATTAAATTTATGATTATGTTCTGGGAAGTTTGTTTTTTCAGAATGAGGGCAGGGTGTACAGTCCTCAGATCAGGTGGCTGGAAAATGGTGTGTTAAGTTGTACAGCCCCTTCCTGCATACAGGCATATTATTCTACTTGTGAACAATATAACAACCCATCTATAAGGTTTGACTGACAGTTTCTCTTATGAAAAGTGTAAAAACCAAAAAGTGAGAAACATCGTGTAGATATGGTTATTCCCAAGGACAAATGAAAAATGTCCATCATAATCATAGTCAACAGCATAATGAAAAGTTTAGCAAACTTGTTAATATGTCAATAAGACAATTACATCAACACTTAATTAATTCCAATTCAAAATAAGATTCAAATAGAGGAAGGAATACTAAATGGCAGATTGATTAAAAGAGATGTTAACCTGGAACCACAAACTGTGTGGGTACACATCACGCACGGGACATTGGATTCTTTCAAGAGACATGGAAAAAGCGATTCATGATCGAGCTACCTCAATGTGAAAGGTCTTAAATAATGGTTCAATTCACATGCCCACTCAAACATAAAATAATGATGATGTATTAATGCACTGACTATCACCTATTGTCTTCCCCAACAAGTAACGCTGGAAAGTACCCATATGACCTTTACAGTGCCAATATGACAATTAGAACCTAACCAAACAAACACAATTATTAAAACAAATTTATTAATTCGTGCAATATCAACAATGCTATAGAGACTATTGTTATTTATACTTTAATTCAACAGCTTTATCAATTATTTAAGGAAACTGTCATTAAATATTCCAATTTTAATCTAAACAAGTGCTGTTTTGTTAATCTCTGATAAAATGCATGAATAAATCTATTTGTTTTATCATGGAAATTTATTTAAACTCCTCACCAACTGATATATAGCAACCCATATAATATCTTAATGTTTAGAAATATTATGTCCTTGTTACTGTATTAATGCATTTTCTTTCTGCCTTTTAACTTTCATTTTCCTTTTTCTCTGTGGATTATAGCATTTGATTCTTCACACATGTTAGTGAGTTATCAACCTAATAAGGCATTTGCAAGTGTTTTTGGTGTTACTTCAATGTAATTTGTAATTTGGTGATCTTTTACTTTAAGAATGTCAGACATGTGAATGATATAAAATATACCAGTACCACATACCAGGCATCTGACATTGTTGTTCAAATGAGGTATATCAACATTGAGGCATTTGCTCATGTTTTTTGGTGTTACCTCAATGAAATTTGTATAGAGGTGATCTTTCTCTTCAAGAAATTGTCTTCTTTGTTTCAGAGAACATTTTCTTTCAAAATTCTTTCTTCAATGTTTTAAATTAAAAAACATTTTTAAAATTACTTCCCTCTTGTAATTGAAGAAAACAACCACCAATTTAGAATATACAGTCAAACCTGTATAAGAGAGACAGTACTGGGAATTTGTAAAAGTGACTCTCTTATACAGGTGGCTCTCTTATCCAGGAGGAAAAGTGACTATATTTTTAACTATTTTTTAGATATGAAGTACAACACCATGATTTGCAATGATTTCAGTTTTTATTTTTAGATAAAACATTTAAAACATAGAATTTAATATGTAATGTTTAAATCAAATGTTAAGAGGAACATATACAATCATGTAATTGATAATGAGTTCTCAATACAAACAAAGAAATTTGCCGAGTAACGCTTTGATTTACGACAATAAATAGCTACCACTATACGATTTATGTGACGATGATTATGCAAACAAAGAAAGGTCATGCCCCGCCGCGTGTATTAGATTGATACCGTGTACATATTACACATGTCTTCAAACACGTCTTCAAAACAATCGGATTAGTGATTATTATACATTGAAAGGTATAGATTCAACTTAATAAATTGGACAGCTTAAATTTTGCTTTGCAGTTAGATTTTGTTAATGTGGTTTAAAAGAAATTTCTACGCACAATTATAATTTCACTTTACTTTCGTTTACTTTCGAAAATACATGTATATCAAAAACATTTTACTCAAAAGAAACACATTTTAAACAAGTTATTTTTCAAACTTACAAACAAATTTACCGACTACTGGTAAAAATTAATGTAAAATGGTACGAAAACGGTATGGTACGTCAGTAAAAATATTGGATCCAAAATGGCGACAAACGTTCTTGTACTGGCCGTTTGATCTGGTAATTTTGGCTATTTGGGGATGAAAATGGGTGGCCGTTGGCGGCGTTGAGCAGGTGGCCGTCTTATAAGAGACAAATATTAGTAATTTACATTGGGGATGTCCAGAGAAGGCGCACTTAGACAGGTGGCGTTTTTATAAAGGTGGCCAATCGGGTAGTTTTGACTGTAATATCATATGACTAAACAGATTATATAATAACTCAGTTCAACACATCATTACAGTGCTGCCTTTCCTTCATTTAGCCCCCTCATCCCTCTCAGACCTCTCTTATTCTGATTAACAACGGTCCCCTGTGGGCATCATTTTCAAGACAAAATCATTCTGCCACAAAAAACGTATGAAATATCTCGAAGAATAATGCTTAAAGCCAGGGACAAAACACCCCTGTTGTCATTAATAAAGCAACAAGATTGGAAATCTGCAGTAAAAACGATGCAAATATCTCACAAACAAATTGAAAATCCATGCTTAAATCTTGCTACATTTTTATATTTGAAGAAAGCTTAAAGCTTAAAAGTAACAGAATGTGATAATTTGTAACTAGAAAGTGTTCACAATTTTTCAGAAGATTGTCTGTTGTTCACACATTAGAACACTTGTTACTTATATGAACAAACAACTGGCTTCTAATAAGTTTCAGTGTTACTCAATGATTTGAATTCTCAGTAAATTGCTGGACAAGGCTTTACATGAAATAGCTTTAATCGTAACCCATGGAACATGTGCATTGAAAGCGACCTCATATTTATACAATTAAGATACTTTTTATACTAAATACAAACGTAAAAAAATTGTATCATTAAAAAAATGAGGTTATTTAACATTAGGGGACTGGAAATAATCTTTTAGAAAATAATGTTCAATTTTATGTAGGTCAAGATCATTTAATTTAACTTGTGTGCAAAATTTCAGATCATTCACTCTTCATTTGCTGAACTTATGAACTTTGAACTTATGTATATATATATACCCAGCAGGTAACAAACTGGTGAATGTCATTAAAATTTTATTATTCTCCACCCACGTTAGTTATATTCTTCTAAAAACAGAGCTTCCATTTATAAATTTATCATAAAGTGTTGCCTGTAAACCTTCACACAGTTATTGAAGCCAGATCATGTTCTCAAGTTCACATTAGCAGAATTGTTCCCTTGGGATTCCCTTTCCAAGAAATAAAAATTGAACAACATTCTGTGTCAATTAAAAAAAAGCATTTTTCCTCATTTAAACAGAAAATTTTAAATCATTTTTTTTTTACTGCAAGCACAATAATTATTCAGCAGTTACAATCTGTACATAAATTTTAAATTAAAACATCTAGATTTAGTTTATATGAATTTATTTTAGTTTGACTGTGTTAGAAGATTAATATAAGCTAATTGAAACATTCTCGAATCCGTTCTGGAACTAACCAGTACTTAGCAATGAGTGTAAAGTTTCTTATGGTCAAGGAAAAAACGACATTCCAATGGTTGCATGGATTGGGTTTGAACCCGGGCCACGCCGTCATCAATCCTATTAATTAAGTTTACTAGTTTGATGTCTTAACCACTCAGCAATGCTGTCACACATATTTTCATGAAGTTTGCAGTTTTCATGTTTTAAAGTTACATGTATTAATTTAAGTGTCAAAATGCATCTTTGTTGTTTAATAAAAGGGACATTCATACTCCATTGAGGTTTTTTGACATGACAGGACAAGAAATATTTTAAATTTACAAGATTTGTATATTATCAGGTGTATGCCTGAAACTTATGTGCAAATTATCAGATATGTCTATTCCCTCACATCGCTTTTCCAGAATTATCAATTTTATTGTGCAAAATGGCACAAAACTGAAAAGTGTTGCAACCCTTTTCACTCAAATCAAGGTAAGAATTAATCCCTCAAAAAAATTGATATTCAATTTAATTCTGAGTATATTTCTTATCCTTTATAAACTTTTCCATTTTATTTGCTTCATAATCAATGCTATGTAAAAACATCAAATTTCATGCTTTTAGGCTTTTTGACCCCGGTGGTCAGCTCCTTTAATGTTATAAATATACACATCACCAAAAAAAAAAACTTGGTTTTGTATGCTGGAGTTCATCATATCAATGACTTCATCCATGGTTAATTAAACCTTGACAGAACCTTAATTTAAATAGGCTTATATCATTATCACCATATAATTTCAACACTGGATGTGAAATTCCTTTTTAAGAAAATTTATTATCTTCCCACTTATAGAAGTGTATTTTAACATCTAAGCTTGCAGCTGCGGTGAAAATTGTTTTTTATGTTTACGAGAATTATAACCTTGTACCAGTCATAATTCATAAATTTCCAGCAATTATTGTCTTTCGCTTAGAGCCTTGTCTTTCAATATCAAAGAAAATAAGCTTACAAAATTAATTCAATACGATGCAATCACATATCGGATCAAATAAATATTGAAAATTACAAAACATCATTTCCTTTTACTGATTCTAGACAAATTAATTTCACCGCAATTACTGGTCACCAAACAGGAAATAAAAGTTAGGAGAAATCTTTGCAATCTTGAAAATCAAAAGAAGAATAAAATCTACTGAATCACTGATTCGTCTATCATACTTCAAAAAATTTAAAAGATGAATGGATGTTAGTTAATGTTTCATTTTAAAACTTTGATTTCATTAAATAAACGGAAGTTTTTTCAACCAGTTCCAACCTGTTTGCTAAGGAAAAGTAGAAGTCCCTATAAGGGTTTTCATTTTTATCTGAGGCAACAGAATGGGCCAATGAAAACAACCAATTTGGTCAAAGGGGACATTTTATTCTACAGGCTGAAACAACCGATTTAAACAGCAATTTAACTGAAGAAATGAATCGTCAATCTGTTTATAATGAAAATCCTGCTTATGACATAGGTAAGACTGGTTTTCTTATCCCATGAAGCTATTAAATTAAAGAACCAATCATGGTTAAGCAAAAACACATTGCTTGCTTAACACATTGCAAAGGCTATCGATTTTTAATATTTAGCAAAAGCGACAAAAAGTCAATGAAAATTTGACATAAAAGAAAATTATAAATAAATTCAAATTTCACGAAGGAAAATACCATATAAAACGTCATGGTCAAAAGTTCCATGGGATCTTTAAAGGGTAAAAAGCTATATGTAATGAAATTTTTTTTTAAAATTCATAAAGAGTGAAATAATCTTGATTTTAAAATCAAGAGGTTATATAGAAATGTCTCTCTTTATAATTTTACACAACTGAGTATTATACATGTGTACATAAACAGAAAATAATGTTACAGTGCTGTGTTAAGTTATTAAGAGTTTTCACCTTATATTTTCCTATGATGTCATGCAGGCACCTGGCATTGATCTTCAGGAAATAAACAAATACAGGTATTTCAGAATTATTTTTCAAAATTCAAACATTTTAATTTTGTAAACTACAGGCAGCAGATAATATATATCACTTTACACACTTTGATCTTCTTAAACTTAATTATTATTTAGCTATACAATGTAGTTTTGATATAAAATTTACAGCTTAAATATTACATCTTTTTTGTAAACCAAAGTAATTACTATAACTTGTGAAATTTAGAAAAATAAATCTAAATAATTATCATGTAAAAAAAACATTAGCAATACTTTAACATCAAAACTTGTTATAAAATTTGCATTTTATTACATTTTTCCTTTACCAAATGTCGCACACAAAGCTGGCATTATATTGGATCCATTAAGATCTGTCCATTACTTCCTTCATAAAGTTTGACATATTGACAGTTCCAGAAAATCTTCCATAGATCACATTAAGTAAGACGGTAATAACATAGGCATAAACAACACAAATCTCTTCTTTGTGGGCACTGGGGATACTGTCTTATTTCAGATATGTTATTTTTGTATAAAATAATATGTTTGTGTAGGCAGCAATCATTGTGAGGCTGAATGATATTAATTGATCTGATCAATCTTAAGAAGATACAGTTTATGACCTAGATGATGTGCTATGATCTGATCAATCATTTAAAGATACAGTTTATGACATAGATGATGTGCTAATTGATCTTAGAAGTAGTTTACAATGAAAGCCAATACATCATATATTATTCGAGCAATTATTCCTCAAGGTATAACCCTCCTTAAAAGCATTACCTCTGCTTTGAAGAGTATTTAAATAGGCTACAAATAAGGTAAACTGCATTGACACTGAGGGTAACAAGTGGCTTCAAACCTAAGTGAAATGTTACCTTTTTTGCTTTTTTTCTTTATTTCTTTTAACTTTATTTATGTATCATTCTGATCCCCTTTTAAAAGAAACAAAGTGTAGTTTTAATTATATTATTATTAAAGGTATTTATTAGCAAAATAATGCTAAATTCATTAACAAATTTGGTACTCTTATCAAATTAAAACTACATGGTAAAAATATTTCGTATTTGACAAGATCAACAAATATATCTATGACAAAATTTAGGTCAACTTTGAAAACAGACCCGTAAGAAAATGGTCAAAGAAGTGTATAAAATGGGTGGGGTAGGGTAACATTTTTATACATACATGTATTTCAAACATTTTTGAGAAGAAACAATCATTTTGCTTGTGTGATTTGTTAACTAAATGTTCTGATTTGTTTAGAAACAACTATTAATATGAAAACGTTTTTCATAAGGATGATATAGATTATTTAGTGTTTCCTTTATTCTGAAAAAGAGCCCTCCAAACATCCAAGCTTTAGTTCAGAAAAGTGTCCTTAACTCGTAAACCAAACGGTAAATATATTTAAATTTTGAATACATGTTTCCTTTAAGACATATAAATATCCCATGTTGTTTGTCATATTTTCAGTTCCTTATAGAGTGCCCATTAAGAGTGGTCATACCTTAAGACAAAAACAGTTGTATGACATTATTATGTCTACCATTTTGCCCATTGACCTAAACATTAACTAAACAGTAATTTACTTAAAGATGTCTGTACTTGATATATCAAAAAAAGAACCCGAATAATTAGAAAATTTAAGCCATTCTACATTTTCTCATAGAAAACATGTGCAGAATTCTGATAAATCTTTACGGTTGGTTAATACTAGCTTTTCAAGAATCATACATGTATCTTTAACTATCTACCTTTTATTCTGCCTGGTTTTCTGGCTGCTGAATGCACGGAGCCGTAACCAAACCGTCTCTCATACCGGAACATGTAAATCCAGACCTCTGGAATGGGGAACAACACTTCAATATCCTCACATGGAAACTGTCCATGTTTCTTGCTGTACGAATGATACCCAGTCACTAACAAATCACATCGGATTTCACATTTTCTTTGCTTTAATATTTGCTGTATAGTCAACTGAAGGGGAAGTTCCTTGTTTTCTCGTAACCTAACACGGTATCTCATCAATTCAAATTGACACGCATCCAATGGTTGAAATTTAATATTGTTTGTATTTTCAAATTCTTCTCTATTCACACAGTTATGAAACTCAACGTTTTCAAGTTTTATCCATTCTTCTGTTTTTATTGGAATGATATCGCACCTACCAACAACTTCCTTTCCTTTTCTACGTCTATCATTCATTCCCATCTCAACAACAGGCATACCAGTAAGAAATGCTAAACAAAATACTCGACATCTCGCCTTTTGAGAAATAACCCTACCATTACAGTCTAGTTCTGCATAATATTCATCACGTACTTCTGCAGTTATTTCATCTTTAGTATATGTCAAAGTTTTCTCACGTTTTGCCTCCATTTTCATGAATTCATCCTCTACTTTTTGTATGAACAATTTTATTTCAGCTTTATCAAGACTTCCAAACTTCAAAAGTTCGGACACTTGAGGTGAATGATCAAGAATCATTGTGGCTTTTGGTTTGTCTGACCTTTTCTTTAACTTCACTAAAGACGGTGTAATTCTTTCAGTTTTAATTCCTACTCTTTCTTTATAGAAAACATACTGCAGTTTAACTGTGTGTATTTTACCATACTGATCATATTGCTGCAGACACAAGTCTGACAGAGAATAACATGGCTGTAATGGAAGTTCTTGAATAGGAAGCTGATCTCTTGCATCATTTAATACCCTAATCATCAATCCCTCTTTCTGTGTTTCTAATTTAACAATTACATTTTTCCAATAGCGATTGCCTGCTATTTTCTTCTTTGTTGGATACCTTAACATTAACTTAAATGAGTCCCTTTCACACTCGGGTAAGAATGGTTCTAGAGGTTCAAGGTTTTCTTCCACCACCTCCTCTTCTGTTGTAGCACTATCTGTTGAGAAACTCTTTGGAGGAGGTTCTTTAGGCATTTCATTGTTGCTTGCATCCATGACTTCAAACTGAGCAAAGTTTTCTTCAGGAGGAGAATCCCTATCAAAAGGATTTTCTCGAGGTGGTTGGGGAGATTTTGGTGCTTTAGGCGGTGGAGCTATAGCTGGTGCTATAGGTAGTGAACTGTCTTTTGGTCTTTCTGCTACTGGTTTTATGTCAAGCATAAAGCCATGATCATCATCAGATGGTTTTGCAAGCTGTTTATCACCCGAAGCAGCCACACTAGAGAATATATCTAATGGATCAGAAGCTGTATCAGCTGTATCTGTATTAGTTTCTGGTGATTTTGCATTTACTTTGAATGGATCAAATATGTCATCTGTATCTGCCACCTCAGAGTCTTGTTTATTGTTTGCGACAGAATCAAAGAAAAAACTTTCACTGTCTGAAAGCACAGCAGAGTTCCCTCCTCCAAGTAACTCTGAAGAACCTACTGTTGTATCAAGGAATGGATTACTTGGAGCAGATGCTGAAACTGAAGGGACTGATGTTGCAATTAATGGGGCATCAGTAAAATCACCAACCAAGAATGGATTTGCATTTGTATCCACTGTTTGTTGTTGTATCGGAATGTCTTCAAGTTTGGAAAAATCATCCACAAATGGATTGTCACTATCACTGGCCTTTGTTTCAGTCTCAGCTGTAGGCCCCTCTTCATCTGCTCCCCATACATCTCCAGCTTGCTTTTTCTCTATTTTTTCTCCTTCATCCCATGTTTCACCTGATTCAAAGTCTGTGCCAAAATCTGTGTCATCAAAAGCTCCAGGAGTTACCCAGGAAGTTTTTACATTTTCAGGAACTTTATGTACAGCTTGTTTACCTAATTCATTAAAACCATTCTCTATTTCCAATGACTCTGGTTCAATACCAAATAGCTGAGCTGCATTAGCACTAACTGCCATAAACCCTTCTTGTGTCTGCATTTCCTCTGTAAAACTTGAGGTCAAAAATGGATTATTGACTGTATCAGTCTGGTCTGCTATAATTTCTTCAACTACTTCCTCTTCATTAGTGTTCATTTTCTTAGATGATAATGCAGCAAGTGGTTTATAATCATCCTCATCCTCCGGTTTCTTCAATTCTTTCTTAACAAATCCAAATACATCTTTTGGCTTGGGAGCTGCCCTTCTTGCAGGAGACACAGGTTGACTTGAAGATGACATTTGCTTGATTTTAGACAATAAATCTACCTGAATATTTGATACTGGAACTGACCCATATGTCATACCTTGGCTTGGAGAAGTTCCATACTGTTGCTCATTTGTTGCCATTGGACTAGGTGCTCTTCGAATATTTACTGCTTGTGAAAAATTTACATTAAAACTTTCAGATTTCATAGGATCAAAACTTGCGAATTCATCAGAAACTGATGTGGCTGAAACAATGACATCTGGCTTATCTTTTTTTACACCATCAAACATATCAGTATTGACTTTATCTTTTGAGGATTCAACAACAGAAGGTTGTAATGGTTCACCAAAAATATCTAATGGTGATTTTCCTTGTTTTACTTCATTACTTTTCGTTGGTTCTTCAGAACTGGGTTCATTAATGTCATCAATTACAAACAGATCTTCCTGCCTTGCTTCAGTTTCAACTTTAGATGTTTTAGTGTTTTCAATAGTTTTGTTAAATGTTTCTAATGGTTGTTCAAACATTAAAATATCACTGTTCACAGTTTTAGATTCTGTACTGACAGCTGATGATGTATCAGCAGATATTGAAGAGGTAAATGCATAGCCACTCAGAATGTCCGAAGTTGGTGGGACTTGATTATCCTGCTGTGTACCTGATGAGGTATCTGATGAAACAAAACTTTCCAGGCCTAAAAGATCTTGAGAAATCATGCTACTGGCTTGGTTTTCAGCTTGACTTGTACTACCTGAGCCAGTGAAACCAAAGAAGTCTAATTCATCTTCTTTCCCCGATAAACCCTCTTTAGTTTTTTCAGTTTCTTGTGCTATGCTATCCATGCTTGCAATTCTGCTGTTAACAGGTGGGGCAGGAGTTACAGGAGGGGAAAGCCCTAAATCAGTGTCTATGTTTGGTATATCTGTTCCTGAATCTAAAAGATCTGCTGTATCTGAATCATTTACAGGACAAGTTATACTAATAGAAGGATGCAAGGATGTGTCTATGACTTCAGGTTCAAGTCCGGAATCAGTTTCAAAGCCTGTCCATTTGGTTGATATGTTTTGCTTTGGTTCTTCGTCTTCACTTTGAGATGTGTATTGTTTCAATTTTTGCTGAGATTTAGCCACTGTCTCTTTCACTCTTTCCTGCATTTGTTGAAAGACAAGCCATTCTTCAGAAGTTTTTTCATTTAGCTTTTGTTCAAGATGAGAATATTCCTCTGTAAGTTTTTCCCTTGATGGAGACCGTTGAGGTGATTTGGGCGAAGATGAATGATGATGCTTTGGTAGGCTACTTAACTTTTTGAATTCCTTTGTAGTTTTATTAATTGCTCCACTTATAGGAGATTTAGCTCTTTTGAATAATCTTTTGGCTTTACTTTTCTTTGATTTAGACTTTGAATCGTGGCTCTTAGTATCTTCCTTTATGTCATCTGGCTCATCAAAGGACAAAAGATCTGGTTGGTTGTCAGATATTTCGCCTGCACTTTCTTTTTGTTCACCATTCGTAGGTGCTGCTATCTCCACGAGGTTAGATGAGTCATCAAATGATGCTCCTTTTGACATCGTCTAGAGTACAACTAGGACCTGAAAATACAGAATTTGAAATTATCATTATAAAAGTTTTGACAAAAATTTACAAAATTCAAGCCTTTCAGAAAAAAAGTCCAGTCTTTTATTTTCTTTAAAAAGCTTTTTCCATGCAACAAATCATTTAAAACATAAACCATATTCAGCAGGATTTGCCATACACATACTTATCTACTTTTGGCCTACATGGTTACATTATTTTCCACTGAAATCATATTATTATAATTCCTAATTTTGCTCTAAATGTGCAATCTCTAAACAAAGCAATTCTTGAGTCTATCATAAATTTGTATAGAAAAAAAGTCACTGCAACATTCATTTACAAAATCCAGACCTTAATTGGAAAGCTAACATTGTTTTTTCAGTACTGAATCATTTCACATCCCTGGTGCTCAGACAGTGTATATCTCTAGCCAGGAAAACTACTTAAGGCTAATAAAAACCGTTTTTATCCCTCCTCTCTCTGCCTAGGTTTCTAATTTCTACTTAATATAAGGATTTAGCAGATCAATATGTTTCACAGACTGTCAGGGACTGTGAATATAAGCCACTTTCCAGAACACAAAAGGCTTAAAACTATCACAAAATGTTTCCAGTAATTCCTCTTTAATAAAAAATAGCCATTACTAAAAAAAAAACAAACAGGCAAAGACATTAGAATGTTGCAATGCATTTAGAAACAGCTGAACATCTTTAAATGTGGTTTTGATATTACAATAATAAACCCAGTCTGTTATATTGCAACCTTTTATAAAAATAACTCAATAAAGTAGTGAACAAAACAACATTCTTTAGCTCCATTTTCAGGGGAATATGTAGCACTTTTTGGCAAGGGGAAATAACTTTAATAAGGCTGTAAAATATTGAAAAGAAAAATCACTGGCCAATATTCACCAAAGAAAGTCTTGAAATATAAATAAACTACTAGTATTAGTATGACATAGACTAAGTGCTTACCCTTTTGCTTGGTGAGTGTTTTATGAGTATACAGTGTATGCTCAAAAATTATATGATATTTTATTTGAGTCTTCATATATTTTATAAGTTGCTCAGATATGAAATTATTTGGAACTCCGCATTATAACTTTCAATTACATACATGGGTACAATTCTTTCAGGAAACTTATTGGCTATCTTATTTGTCAGGTTGGTGCTTCTATACTCATAAACCTAATAATTCCTGATAAAATTACTGAGGTTGATCACCCTTCTCAGGTTTATAAGTAACTTTGAAAACACGGCAAAAATATTATTTTATTTGAAAAAGGTGAAGAGTTTCTATTAATTAATATTAAATTAAATTGTTTTATCATGAATAAATAAAATGCCAATTCAATACAAGGAAAAAAAGCTGAAACAGGCAAATCATAGAATGTCCTAGGCAGTATGCATGACCTATCTAAATCTATATAATTATTGCCAAGCAAACATTATAAAATATGCATACATCACATCCCACTATTTGTATGAAATATTGATGATTGTCAATACTACTTTGAAGTTCCATAAAAGACAGAAAAACATAATGTACTACATATAAACTCTGAATAACCCATATGATTGATTTAGCACTTATCTCACAATAACAAGAAAATCCATTACAAGGAAGGATGCCAGGTTCCTGATGTTGTTGCTCTGGCAAGCTCACAGTCATGTCTTTACAGTATAGTGTAAGGAAAAATAGGACTTTTTTTAGACCTTGACCTAATTGACCTGAGAACCATACCAAAGGTAAGAGGTCCATAGATCTGAAATACCAACACACTAAATATCTAAGATAGTTAAAGATACCAGCAAGTTAATACCAGCAAGTAAGCTGCTATGGAAAATGGTATAGTAAGTGTGATGAGGAAGGATGGAGTGGTGGCCTAAGTGGTTAAGGAGTCTGCCTCTCAACCTGGGGATCATGGGTGCCAGCGCTACTAGGAACACAACCATGTTTCTTTATATGTCACCAGTTGGTTCAGGTTCCAGGAAGTGATTTAATATAAGTTGTATAAATAGGTTTCTCAATCAAGCTTAAATATGATTTAATTAACTAAAGGAAGGATCTTAAAAAGGACAGTTGATCTAAATGCCAAAAGATAAGCTCCACTTAAAAAATTACAAGGGAGCAATTAAATAACAGTTTGAATATTGGGTCTTCAATTTTATGACATGGCCTCAAAATAACACAAAAATCCATTAAAGGCAAAAAGAAACAAAGATATAATATTGAGAAACTAGCAAACAAAAGAAAGCTGTTATTTTCCATTAGATTTCCCATGACTAGATTTTGTTATATATATTGGTACCATTAATCACACACTTAGGCTCTCCTGGGAGTATTTGTCATGCTAGGAACTGCACGTAAACCATGTTCCAAAAAAATTGTATTTCTGCTGTCTTATAATAGAACTAAATTTAGTAATCCATAAATTGAACAATAACATTGCTTTATCAATAATAATTATACAATTAAATCGCTCTAATTGGCAGAACGTTTAGCTTGCTAATTCAAGACAAAACAATTATTTACCAATTAAGATTAATGAATATGACATTTTCTGATTAAGTGTCTATTTCCTTGGCGGCTGAAGTTTTCGTAACTAATGGTAATGAAATCAGTCTTTTAAACTAACAAAATGGACTTAAAGGACAGGCTCATCAAAAACTTAGCAATATAACAGTTGCAAGCTGAAGTACAATAATGACTTCCATCACTAGTACCGCAATCTATCTTCCAGCGGAGAAAGTATTGAATATTTAATGAGAGTCATTTCTAACACGAGCTGTAAGCAATGAGTAATTGTGTACAGAAAACTAATTAGACAAGGCTGTAAGACAAGGCTATTACATAATCAGGCAACATAGTGCTAGACAATGCAATAGGTTAGACAATGCTGGAAGACAATCTTAGAAGTTAACACTTCAAACAACACTGAGTGTGGACCTTCATTGTAAAACAATATATAATTATAGAGGTCATCTCTCAAATTCTAGTAAACTTTTATGTGAACCTACAAAAGCCAAAAACAACAAAACAGCCATACCTAGAGGCATGAATTTATATAGAAGTATTGAACAGTAGCCCTGTATCTGACACTAACTACTAAGCTGGTAAGTCTCAATGGGAATTAATCCTTCAGACATGTCAGGAGTCTTTTAACCATTTATAAGTTGCAGTTATATATTTGGCTATTTTCCCCTTGCCTAATATAATAAACAATCGTTCCAATAAGTTTATTTCAATACTATTCATTGTGTTTCAGACGGAGTTTCTGTTAGGTTTTGTACCCTTTTTAAATTTTCAGCAAATAATGGGCATCTGTGCTATGCCTTCGTACCATAATTATGTAAATTGTCTCAGATTTAATAATTTGTTTAAATCAAAGGTTTTTGATTTTCATTTCTGTAGATGATGAATTAAAAGTGGAAAAGTGTTGTCTTGATTTTTTACATTATTATCAGATTAAATATAGAAGCACAGTGGTCCTCACTTATAGCAAACTGTGTTCTAGTTGGTTATATTAAAAGAACACTTCCATTAGGTCCTGATTTTATGTAAAAATCTGTGTTTATAGAATTGTAAACTCCCTTATCAGATACTAGTACATATTCAGGTCCCAGTCAAGCACTTAACACTGTTATTTTCTAACTTAGGTCCCACAATGCAGACATTGCATCTAAGAAGTGCCTAAGGTCCAATGACAGTAATTCCACATTTAGTTTAAATTTACAAAAGGGAAGGTTCCAGTTCTGATTCTCTTAATCCAAAAACAATGTCACAATATCTGCAGATTCAACATGTGTTACCAAATAATATTACCATCAAACACACAACATTTAACCAAAATAAATTCCTAAGATCGAAGTCCATAATATCGCACAGTCACGAAAGATGTTGTTAATTTACAGACATATCTTTGAGTATGTACGTCAGACACAGTTCCACTGGAAAGCCCTTATAACACCTGACAATTCTCATACAAAAAACAATACTGCCACTCAGACAAATTAAAACCGTAATTTCAGGAGCTGACATTTCAATAGTGAAGATGAATATGACAATAGGATTTTGCTAGACAGACACATTGATGAGATATTATTCATACTTAAAACAGTGCCCTGTGTGTCACAGGATTAAAGTGTGTTTGTGATATTGTGAAAGATTAAAAAAATAATTAACTGACAACCTATAAGATTCTGGTATCAACAGCAAGCATTTTATGTCATATATGGTAACCCTTGGCCTGCAAGAGTGGTAACTGAATATATCCATGCAACCAGGGAAGACCAAGATCAGATGTGACTGATTATGCCGTCTGCATTGTTCATTTTTATTTGTTTGGGTCGTCAGACCAAACAAATAATGGTAGCGAAATTTCAGACTCTAATGCTGTTAATTGCAAGTGCCGAAAGTAGTCCGCTTTTTTGAAGCGGTTACTTCCCTTTATATGTAACACTTAGGCCGAAAAATTTAGGGGAGATCACTGCGTAAAGATTGTCAAATGACAGGCGGATTAATCACTAATATGATGTGCTGATATGATTAACGTCACTTCTCTTCAAATATTGTCTTATGTAATATATATAATTTTACATCTTTGAAATTGTTCTTTTTTGTATAATTATGATGCTTTTCTTTGCTTAATGTTGTTTCTTTTCATTGACTGTGTTATGTAATATGTATATCTTCAAACATTCGGAGGCAATAAAGATGTATAGAAAGCGCCATGATTATTTACACAGGTGTTAAACAACAGTTAGCGTCGTTACAAACCCTAACTAGAATAATATGGTCTTTTTCAGGCCGTTTACATGTAAATCCACCGTGGCCGAGGGGTTTGCGCGCTCGCTTTGGAAGCGAGAGGTCTGGAGTTCAAATCCCAGTTAAGGCAACTTATTTTTTTTTCAAATTGTTTAAGTCAAATAAACATTGGATTGAATATCAGTGTTGCAAATAGTCTTATAGCCAATCTACTACAATTAAAACGCTGGAAAGCATTGGTGGCACT